CCCCCCCCCCCCCCGCCCAAAATACGTTACACCTTCCGTCAGTGCGAGGTTGTTTACTCGCATTACAAACGCTACTGAAAGTCCGATAAGGCAGCACTTTGCGGAGCCGTTTTCGGCACGTAACATATGTTCCGCGCACACATCAGCCTTAGGGAAACTAGAGCGACACTGAATATTTGTTGGCAACGCATCTTTACATCCGCTACGGTAAGGGTTTTGTGCGGTTGATATGCAAAATCTCAGCCATGGTAGCATGAAATCTTTTGGAACATATTCGAAGGGCAGGCAGTGGGAACGGCGTTGAACGCGACAATTTTGAGGAGACTCGCCTACAACGGAGAAGAGGGCAGAGGTCCGCCATGCCCATCGGTCGCTCTTTGGCTGCAGCATGAGTTCGGAATGTTTTCGGCAGTCATTTCCACCGTGAGGGCTCCAATTTTCTCCTGTATGCATTGCGCATCCTTCCCTTACGCGAAGATACGTCATCGTTGTACCCACAGCAAACGCTAATGTGTAGGGCACATCAAGTCCCCACAAGAGACATCGTACGCATATCTTCGAAGGCCTCGTTTACCTCCGTTTGGGTTGAGAGGCGAGCGCGAGTCATTGTGTGAGCAAGCGGAACCGAAGAGGCTACATTTAGGGCACCCAAGGAGACTGAAGTCCAAACAAGGATAGTGTTTGAGAGAAACACATGAGCTTCCAGTGGCCCTCACAACTGAAACGTATCGCGGCTGCCTTGGGATGCAGGTCCACCGTGTCATGCCAGCCAAGTCTCGAGTGGAAAACGCGATGCGTAGTAGGGATCAGATCAAATAACACATCACACGAAAGCACTAGAGCGCAAAGAGCTCTACTTGTCGCGCCTGCCTGCCTTCTTCCCCGCCTTTTTGCCCTTTTTTCGTCTTTTCGTCCCGCCGCCTTGCGACGCAACAACACCAGCAGGAGAAGCAACAGTCTCTGCCCCGCCCTGCACAGCCGTTGCCCGTGCTGCCGACTCAGGTGCCTCCGACCGCTCCTCGGCAATAGTAACCTGTACCTCCCCGCCGGGAGGGCCTGGCGTACGTTCCAAGGGCGGCAAGACGCCTTTATCCTCGAGCTCTTTATTCAATGCCAGGGCTTGGTAGTAGCTCTGCTTGTTGACGGCCTCCAACGTCTCCTTTACCCCTGCAAACATGCCCTTCCCAGGAGCAGGGCCCACTTCTTGCTCGGTCGCACCGGCAGCGGTCGTCTCAACTGCTGCGGATGGCGATGACGGCGGCTCTTTTGTCGCCGCGGCAAGCTTCTTTCCAGCAGCTTTTTTCCCGAAGGTCTTCTTTCTCCGCCGACTGCTTCTGTTCGGCACCTTGGATTGCTCCTCGTATTCCTTCTTGAGCAACGCTAACGACGACCGTTTCGTTTTGACCTGTACTCAAAGCGGAGAGGAGGGTTGATGATAAGCAGCCAACCACCCCGCTTCGCCAGTGCAGCGACGGCGGTCGAAAACACAGCGATCAACCCCATCTCTGCAAGTTTTTCGGTCAATCACGGCGCCCGTGCCGATGAAAAGAAATCGCCACCGATCTCCTGCTCTGTCGGTTTGAAGGGGAAAATATACACAAGACGCGGCATCTCCTGAGCCGTACAAAAGCAACGGTCAACTGTTCTTACAAGATGTATGAATTTTCCAAACAGACCCAGCCCGGAAGGCAACACCACGGAGGAAAAGCTTGTCTGCAGCATGCATAAAAGACATTTTGTTGCTGCAACGAAAATTTCTCCAACTGCCGTTGTAAAACCCACCTCTTCCACCCAGAGATAAAACGCCGCACCGACAACGCCAGCATCGATGAGCGGGTTGGGAAGGTTCTCGCTGACCTCCTTGAACTCGTCAATTCCGGCCATACCTCCCAGAGAGATGCCCGCCAAGAAGATAGCAATCTGTCAGTGCCAGGAGGGTTCCAATCTGCGTGAAAAAGGAGCAGTTGTGGATACGGCCAGACCGCAATGTATCGCGCCACGTGGGTGACGAAAAAGCAGAGGGTGCATGTACCCCGAGGAAGACAATCATGTGTTCAAAGCCGGGTTGCTCCAACAAACAAAGGCTCGTGCGGGATACCCCTTGCTGGGTCTCCACGGCGAAGGTATGTACGCACACGAGCGTTCCATCTGCTCCTAATGGCACAGACAAAATTACACATGGGGTGTTGATTCCGGTCTTACGAAGGCAGGCACAGCGTATCCGATTAGTCTTAGTCTCCGGAAGGGGGCCGAGGCCTCTTCCTTTTCGATGATCTCCCGGGCGAAACCGTAGATTCCGGCGGCGTCCTTGCCTCCCTTGGCCTCGATTCCCTCGATGTCGATGCGGTCCGCGGCAGGTTCCTGTCAAAGTCCGATGGTGTAAAAGTTGAGACTGTACAAGTCGTTGATACAAGGAGGGTGGAGAAAATCATCTCTGCCACAATAGTTTTCCAGCTGAGACCCAGCACGTTGGGCACCATTCGACTACAAACACGCAGGTGTGCACGGGCGGGAATGACCACTATCATGTGCACTCCAGCAACGTATATCCTCCGGCGGTGCATTGGCCTTGAGAGACTGCAGAGGTAGACCTTCCTCATGATCGAACAGCATGCGCAGCACTGCGGGTGGTTTCCCTACCGTCGGTCCAACCAGAAATGTGATTGACGTTTATGCCTGGCGTGTCTCGTGTGAAGGCGCGATGTTGCGTGTGTGCAGGAATCAACATAGCATCGACGGATGATGTTGAGCGCTACTGCACCAGAAAAATGACTTTTGCGACGAGAGCACTCGATACATTTACAAGAGTCTACAGCAGTCGATGTAGAACTCATACCACAACCTCTGGCAAAGATACGACATGACAAACATTTGATGTTGATGTACCACAGCATTGCGGCGCAGTTGATTTTCGATATCGTGTTTTAACCACAACCCGACGATCTTCCTTTGAGGCCGCACGGACTCCTTGCCACCAACACCGTCCTTACAACGGAGGTATGTGTCACTGCTGCTGCTGACATGCTGTGAAGTAGTGCATATGCTGTAGGAAGCCAGTTCTTCTGTGTTTTGGTTTTGGGGTGTGTGTGCCGAGGGTGTTTTTTTGAGCTTTGAATAAAGCTTTCCCACAAACGTACCACTCAAAGGGCACCTACCTGAGGGTCATCTCCGGTGCCGGCTATCCGGCTGCTGCTGCCGTTACCGCTACCACGGTAATGCGTGGTACTACATGGCATACATGTAGTAGTTCCTCGCCGCTGCTGTTGAAGGGGATCACGATGATGTTGTTGACAGCGTTGCCGTTGCCGGCATGGAGAGGGGGTAGCGAAGCTCACCACACCACCGACCAAACAACAAAGCACAACTACTGTCTCAATCACTCCTGGTCTGAGTCGCATGATCGCTCTAGTCTGAGTCGTGGTCGTGCGGGCTGAGTGTGCCACACAACAGCATCATCTGGCGGAGCGGGGCACCGGCGAATGATTCAGGGTATGCGGCGAGTCAACTCCTACAGACAGCACTGCCTCACCCGGGTTGCACGCGGTGGAAAAAGCAAAAAAAAAGGCCCCACGGGGCTCCGTACATGGTAGCTCAGCAGACACGGTACCCGGGAAGGGGCCAGCACAAAAAAACTCGCCGCGCCATGCGCGCATGCCACGAGAGCATTACCTTTGGGGCCAGAGTTCTCAGCACACACAGCCCGGACCGCGACAAAGCCTACGGAGTACAGGAAGGAGATCACGTTGAACCTCGGTGAGTGGTTGGTATGTCCTCGTTATTCTCTTGGAGCGCGTAAGGTGGAGTGCTTTCGTCAAGAGTTTTTTCCGGCACCCTCCGTAAATGACAGCAGCGCCGTCGCACGAGAAGGTCATCTTCAGACGCTAGGTCGGCCCCGAGGAACGAACGAAATCGACTGGCGATTTCGTTCCCCAGTAGGAATGTGACAAAAGAAGCCTCCAGGGGTTGCCCTAATTTTGGATCGCCACTACCTGTGCCGTAGTCGCGACGAATTGAACACCATGTTCGTGCGGTGTATCTTGCGGATTCTCCACCCCCTGCGTCGGGTCTCGTGTGTTTGTAGTGAGGGGTAAGGCGGTTGTCACGATGACACCAGCGGAGCTCACTCGCACTATGTAAAACTGAGCCTTGGGCCATGTCTAGCAATAGTTCACCACTATCAGCATCGCATAAACCATGGGCCGTCCCTGCTGTATTTCCATTTGGCAGGAATGTTCTCGCCGAGAGCGGCGGCGACCTGCAGTGCC